AGAGATGGGAGTGGCATCCTTCTTCTTTTCCACACTTAGAAAAGAAGTTAAACCAGTAAAAAACTCTTTTTAAATCTTTGTCTAATCAGTGGAAACTATGAAAACTGGCTCTCCATCCTTCCAATTCCAGTGTTTATCTGTAGTGACTTTATAGTGCAAAGGATATACAAAAAAAGACTCTAAAAATGTATAAATAAACCTTTTATAAACACAACAATCATCAGTATTTCTGGAAGCAAAATTGGTTCACTTTTCTTGTCTTAGGCCTATGTGACCTTATACAAAGGATACTACCAAAAAAAGACCCTAAAAAGGTATAAATAAACCTTTTATAAACACAAGAATCATCAGTATTTCTGGAAGCAAAATGTGTTCACTTTTCTTGTATTAGGCCTATATGACCTTATAGTACAAAGGATACCAAAAAAAGACCCCAAAAAGGTATAAATAAACCTTTTATAAACACAAGAATCATCAGTATTTCTGGAAGCAAATTTTAATTCAGTTTTTGTATATTAGGTGGAATTCACCTCCACCTTCTCATGGAAATAAAGAAAGAAAGAAGAAAGAAAGAAAGAAAGAAAGAAAGAAAGAAAGAAAGAAAGAAAGAAAGAAAGAAAGAAAGAAAGAAAGAAAGAAAGGAAGGAAGAAATAAATAAATAAATAAATAAATAAATAAATAAATAAATAAATAAATAAATAAATAAATAAATAAATTGGTAAAAGTCTTTATAGGCATGAGTCCTGTTAAACCCAGTTCAGTACAACTGGGTTATAATGAACCCATTCATGAATTTGTCTCAGTAAAAACATTTTTAAACGTTTTTTTTCCTCTTTCTTTGATTCTCTCTCCTTTCCTGAGCAGGGAAACAGGGATGAGGGCCTCCTGCCTCCACCTGATGGGAGTTTAGAGCAGTGTTTTTCAACCATTGTTTCTCGGTACACTAGTGATGGTCAGGTGTGCCGTAGAAAATCATCCTATTTCACCTCATTGGTCTAAAAAGATTTTTTGATAAAGAATTAATTATCTGCAAATAATATTCCATTTTTGAGTGTCTGTGCTGTTCTAGTGACTGGTGGCGTAATCATGTAATAATTCCTTATGACTAGATTTTGTATATAATTTTGTATATTGAAGTGGACATGTTAAGAGCAATTTGAAAGAAGAAATATAAAATATGATAAAAAATACATTTTTGTGTTTATTTGATTCCTATTCAAGACACTTAAGATCCCTTAAGATAAGAATAACTATAGTGTTACTATAGGCAGCTACAGATTTGTTTGCTGGTGTGCATCATGATTTTTTTTTCTATGAAAAAATATACCTTGGCTCATAAAAGGTTGAAAAACACTGGTTTAAGGGGACAGGACCGAGGCAAAAACACAGAAAAACCAGGCTGGAAACAAGCAGAAAGAAAAAGTTAACCATGATCATAACAAAGTAAAAACACAGAAAGCAGAGTATGGAAAGCAGAAGTCGAAGCCTGTGGCAGAAAAGAGATGGATCGGGGTCACGATTTGGTAAAAGTTTAAAGGTTTAAGCCCATCTCTGACTCCCAAAACCATTTTTATGACCGTTTCCAGTGCAGAAAAGCCTGATAACTGAAGGTTTTGCATCAAAGTTCTACTTTGGAAACACTTAACCCTTTAAAGCCTGATCCAAGAATAAAACCAAACAGAAATGTACTTTTTTTTGTTTGAATTCGTTATTTGGCCTTTTAACAAAATATGTAAAAAGAAAAAAAACTAAATACATTTTTATTATTCATAATTTATTGCTATGCGATAAGTCAAGATTATTTTTTGTGTAGTCTTCTGCCCCCTGTTATCAGGTGTATCTGATTGTGTTCAATAGGATTTAGAGCAAAGTTTTTACCATTAAATTATGCAAAAGGAGTCAGACGCAAAACATTTAAGAAACCGTATGAATCAAATATGATACATTTGGCATTACAGGGTTAAAAACACAAAGGAACCTGTAGTTTGAGAATAAAATGGTCTGTTTGGAAAATATCTGACTTTGAGAGATGTGGAGTAGTCACTCACTTAATAGAAGTGAAGATAGGGACATCATAAGACAGTACGTTTATTAATTTTTGGAGTTTCTTTTTATTTAAAAGGGCTAAACACATTCAAAAGAAGGCTTTTAACTGTCGGTTCCACTGAGAATTGACCTCAGATCGCTGGACTTACAGTCCAGAGTGCTAAATGTTACACCATTATATCCAAAGAAACAACCAGAGCATGACATTTCCCAGATTTTAAATTAATTTGTATGCTAATCTTGCAGTTTTCATGTAGGATCCCCATCAGAATTACTCTATAATCAGTTCCATAATTCCCCACAGAGATTTTCACAGTATCCTAATGACCCGCTTTGTGTTGGCTGTAGATTTTACTGCACCATAACTCAACAATTCCCCCACGCAGCCTCATTTCAAATTGCATTTATTGCCGCATTTTTCAATTTGCTTTGCCACGTCGAGAGCCAATAAACATAGAATACATTTAACTTCACACTGTTATTAACTTACCAGGCTTGAGTGAGCTGAAACATAATTAACCTCCTAAGAAAAAGAGAGTTTATGGGCAGGGAGGGAGGTGAAATACCACCTTATCAAAACCCCGGCAGCCAAATAGAGGGGAGGGAGAAAAGTTACCGATTACAAAGAGGTTCTGGATCACTCTGTAAATTTAAATAGCCGCCACACTTCGTTGGCTCAGCTCCTGGAGCTGCAAAGTAACTGCCTACATCACATAAAAACAGGTCATAATGCAGTAATAAAACGCAGTTTGATACATACGGCTTCTGAAATCTAACATTTAGACTTTTCGCACGGTAATAAACAATGAATATTCAATAATTATTTCTGTTTCCATCCATTATCGTTAACGTTTATTCCCTAATGGGGAGAACTGGAGCCTAAGTTATTTCTGTGTATTTTTTATTTTTTAACCCTGTAATGCCAAATGTATCATATGTGATACATACGGTTTCTGAAATTTTTTGCGTCTGGCACCTTTTGCAGAATTTAATGGTAAAAACTTTGCTCAAAATCCTATTGTACACAATCAGATACACCTGATAACAGGGGGCAGAAGACTAAACAAAAAATAATCTTGACTTATCGCATAGTAATAAATGATTAATATTAAAAATGTATTTCTTTTTTTTCTTTTTACATATTTTGTTAAAAGGCCAAATAAAGACTTCAAACAAAAAAAAAGTAATTTTTTGTTTTGTTTTATTCTTGGATCAGGCTTTAAAGGGTTAAAGGGCCCAATAAATATTTTTTTAAAACTAAGGGTTAAGGTCGGTTCAACCATGTAGGGTTTGCACTGAATTAAAGTCTAACAGTAGCATTTTTTTAAAGGAAATTTAAGAAACGTAATTTAAGTAAACATTTACAAAGATGACAACTTCAGTTTGAAAACAACTGAAAGACAACTGATTTAGAAAGATTATGTAAGAAAAGTTATATTTCTTGTGTAAATAAATAGTGGCTCTATTAAAGGATGAAGAACTAAATATTGTGGGACATTTATTTTCATCGTGAAAAACAACAACACCATAAACTGATGTAATCAATATGCAACATATTTCCCAGAAAGTGGTTTAATAAAACCAAATTTAATGTAATCACATGGTTGCAAGGTCCACATTTTTTTTAAAGGAAATTAAGGAAGGTAATTTAAGTAAACATTTCCAAAGATGACAACTTTAGTTTGAAAGCAACTGAAAAGACAAGTGATTTAGAAAGATTATGTAAGAAAAGTTATATTTCTTTTGTAAAATATAGTGGCTCAATTAATGGATGAAGAACTAAATATTGTGGGACATTCATTTCATCATGAAAAACAAAATCGACATAAATTGAAATAATAAATTTGCAACACATTTCCCAGAAAGTGGTTAAATAAAACCAAATTTAAGACAATCACACGGTTTCAAGGTCCAAATTGCGTAGATTTACTAAAGTTAGCTTGACATTAATAGTATTCCTCCGTGTTGGTCAGAGGAAAGCGGTTTTTCCGAGAGTCCCTGAAGGCGGCGTCTCCTAGCAACGGAGCAACGTTCGCCCGTTAAAACTTTGGTCGACGTCGTTTGACACGATGCCGAAAAAGAAGGAGAAAAAAGGCGTCGAAAAGCAGAAAATGAACAATAAAACATCGAAAACAGAGGGTATCCCGACTTCTGCGTTCAATATCGTCTCTGCCAACAAAGAAAGGGATCTATACCTGACTCAAATACGATATTTGAACGAAGAATTGGAGAGGTGAGGCTGTTTCTGATTTATGAACAAAGGGGCTTCCGTATTCCACTTATTATATCAATAAAGTTAGAAAAAACTCTGAAAAAGTCTGAATACTTGTTTATAAATCCCTGTATCCAGTTGCTAGTTGTTACCTAAGCTACCAATTTTAATATCTTAATTACAGGATATCATAATCTGATTGTAAGATGTGCTAAATACAATTTTTTAAAACCTTTTTTTTGTTATTAGCAAAATTGTAATACTGATTACATTTTTTTTGTATGGAAATGTAGCAACTTTTTTGGTTGCTGTAGTTTTTCTTTGCATTTAAATGACATTTTTGTTGCAGGGTTAGGGGTATTTGTATTCTTGTTTTGTTTTTCATGGAATAATGTTATTAATAGCAACTTTTTGGGTTTTTGACTCAACTAAAAACTGTTGCAGTCATTTTATATCACTCCTTTATAATAAGTCATACTTTTCCTAAAGTTACAGTTTATCCACTGTGAATTAAAGTTAAGACTTTGTACAAGGTTATTATTCTCTCATACAATCCTTCCTATTTGTACCACAATAATTTGCCAAAGTCTACAGCTCCTCTTTTCTGGTTATTACCGGGCACTCAGACTATCCGGTAGTACTTTGAAATAGTTTTGAGAATTGGTTCAGAGTCACTTTTTTATTTATTTAAAGGAATTCCTTTGAGCTCAATTCATATTCATTCCAGTCTTTGCAAATGATTTTAGGAAGACTAATCCACAAAGCTCATGGTCAAGTTTCCAGTTATACAAAAACGAGAGGACCAAACTTGAATTGAGGAAATTATGTTTTTAAAGTTAGTCGCAGAGTTACAAAACATGTTACCTTGCTTAAGCTGTGAGGTGTATGTAATTTACTGATTGTTTTGTTTTCTTTTATAACTATATTTTGTGTTGAAGTCTCTGTCCGTGTCCACAGACTCTCTTTTCTCTCTTTTTCTCTCTCTGTTGCATTAGATCCACCTTTAGCTCAACACACACACACACACACACCAATTGTTAGCACATTCCAATGTCATCTGCATGAATTAGGACCTGGCCTATTCGTGCCCAGCGGTAACTGGCCAATAGGACGTGGTTATGTCCTCTAAGCCCCGCCCCCTTTTGTTTCCCTCAGCCTGTCGCTACGGTTCGCTGGAAAAGCGAATTCTTGTTTATGAATCCGTGTATCTAATGTTATTAATAGCAACTTTTGGGTGTTTGACTCATCTAAAAACTGTTGCACTCATTGTATAACACTCCTTTATAATAAGTCATACTTTTCCTAAAGTTACAGTTTATCTACTGTGAATTAAAGTTAAGATTTTGCACAAGGTGAATATTCCCCTTATACACTTCTGCCTATTTGCACCACATTCCAATGTCATCTGCATGAATTAGGACCTGGCCTGTTCATGCCCAGAGGTAACTGGCCAATAGGACTTGGTTATGCCCTCTAATCCTGGGAATTGTTGGGTTTCTGTAATTAACTTCAGAGTAGGTCTGACCTGCTCTGTTTGGAAAGCACTGTGAGACAACTGTTTTTGTGATGTGGCGCTATATAAATGAAATTGAATTTAATTGAATTAATTTCAATTTTGTAATGTCATTGTCTGAACGTGTGTTTGGACTGATTTTGTATTTTGTGATTTTGTGTTGTTTGGTCTTCCTGCCTCAGGACTACAGATGTAAACTAGCAACTATGCTATAATCTGGCTCATTTACAATCTGTATGAGATTGTTCATTAATGTGCACTGTCCTGATTAAAGAAATAAATAAATAGCAACTTTTTGGGTTTTTGACTCAACTAAAAACTGTTGCACTCATTGTATATCAGCTAACTAGCCAATAGGACTTGGTTATGTCATCTAAGCCCCGCCCCTTTTTGTTCCCCTCAGGTTTCAGCTCCGATGCAACGACCTGGAGGCTAAGAACAAAGACTTATCCTGTCGCTACGGCTCTCTGGAAAAGCGAATTCTTGTTTATGAATCCGTGTATCCAGTAGCTAATTGTTACCTAAGCTACCAATTTGATAATATCTGAATTGAAGAATATCATCATCTGATTGTTGGATGTGCTAAATACAAATTTTTTAAACCTTTTTTTGTTATTAGAGAAATTGGCATACTGATGACATTTTTTTTAATGGAAATGTAGCAATTTTTTTGGTTGCTGTAGTTTTTCTTTGCATTTAAATGACATTATTATTGCAGGCTTAGGGGAATTTGTATTCTTGCTTTGTTTTTCTTGGAATAATGGTATTAATATCAACTTTTGGGGTTTTTGACTCAACTAAAAACTGTTGTACTCATTGTATATCAGCTAACTAGCCAATAGGACTTGGTTATATCCTCTAAGCCCCGCCCCCTTTGGATTCCTTCACGTTTCAGCTCTGATGCGATGACCTGGAGGCTAAGAACAGAGACTTATCCTGTAGCTACGGCTCTCTGGAAAAGCGAATTCTTGTTTATGAATCCGTGTATCCAGTAGCTAATTGTTAGCTAAGCTACCAATTTGATAATATCTGATTTGAAGGATATCATCATCTGATTGTAGGATGTGCTAAATACAATTTTTTTAAACCTTTATTTTTTTTTTTGCGAAATTGGGAAATTTTTTGTGTGGAAATGTAGCAAATTTTTTGGTTGCTGTAGTTTTTCTTTGCATTTAAATTACATTTTTGTTGCAGGGTAAGGGGCATTTGTATTCTTGTTTTGTTTTTCATTGAATAATGACATTAATAGCAACTTTTGGGTTTTTGACTTAGGTTAGGACTTGGTTATGTCCTCTAAGCCCTAAGCTGTGTAGGATGTGTAGGATTTTTTAAAACCTTTTTTTTTGTTATTAGCAAAATTGGGATACTGATTACTGAATTACTGATTCCTCTAAGCCCCGCCCCCTTTTGTTTCCCCCCAGGTTTCAGCTCCGATGTGACGACCTGGAGGCTAAGAACAAAGACTTATCCTGTCGCTACGGCTCTCTGGAGCAGGAGAAGAGGGACGTGTCCGGATACCTGAAGCACGAGCTGTCGGAGAGCGAGCGGCAGGTGGAGGATCTGCGCCGCCGTCTAAACGGCGAGCAGAAGGAGGCCAACCGGGAACAAAGCGCCCTGAAAATGGAGCACGCCCGGGAGAGGGAGGAGCTCCAGGCACGCATCAAAGAGCTGATGCAGGAAAACTCAGATATCCGTGAGGATTTACAGGGTTTATCTCATAGTTACAGCACGAGGAGGATAGTTTACTCCCAAAGTCCCATCGAACCGGGAAACCTCAGGAGACCCCAAAATGTTTAGAAAACAACAGCATATACATATATCTATACATATATATATATATATATATATACAAAATTCCACACAGAATAT